GAAGCCCTGAGGGTAAGGAAATCAACATTGTACACACATCAAACATGTTGCGAGTGCAATTTTATGAGATTCTATCAACAATTTTTGATGGGGGTTTGAAGACAAATTTTCTTTTTCATAGATGTTCATGTTCTAGTAAAGGCATTTTTATTACAGTACACTGCAAATCTGTTGTGCCACAAGAAGTTTGCCATTGAGTTCCTAACCATGCAGGGTGTACAGAGAACCCTGCAGGTGCCCCGCCCCTCTGTGGCAGCTTGTGGGGTGTCTCTCTGTATCTACTATCTCTCTTACTTTGAGGATGCCATGGAAAGGGTAAGAAACAGTCTAACTTTGCATCTAAAATGCCTTTTCAATAAGGGAAGCAGGTTTTAATTTATGAGCTACTGAATAATATCTTTTTTGTGCTGTCAATACAACTGTTCAAAGATGCTTATAATATTGAAGTTTAGCAAATAACCAATAATCTATTCATGCAAACAAGATAGCTAAGATTATTTTAAGGTTTGAAATTTGTTACAATTTTTTAGGTTTGCCAATTACCAGATGAGACCCTAGCTGAATTGGTTAGGTAAATGATTCTAAAAATTCTGGAAAAAAAAGTACAATTCTGAGATATTTTTTATTTTTTTTTTTTAAAGAGATCCTTTCGAAAGTATGGACAAGTTGAAAGCTTAAATTGATTTTAAGGGACAAGAGTGTTCATAAAGGGAGATTACTTGGGAATAAAAGATATTTTAAAAGAGTTACTTCTCTTCTGTTATAGTTAATTCTGTTAGGATAAATAAGAATGAACTAGCACAGTGAATGTCTTTATCTTTGAACAGCTACACATTGTGGCTACTGGAGTGTTCCCATGATTCCAGTAGATGTCATGCTGCAATGTTTTTTGGGCAAGCCTTTCCCTACAGGGTGATCTTAAATTTGTTTGATCAGAAAGATGGACTGAGGAGGTTATTTAATGTGGTAAATCTTTAAACTAATTTTATTGTAGTGAACATCATGCATAGAGAAGTTGAACAAAAATAAACCACAGTTTCAAGAATTAATTAGATGTGATTATTTCTTTCAACGTATGTTATTCTGAAGTACATGTATATGTAGCATCTTGCAAACTTTTTAAAAATATTTTAGCGGCTTTGGCGCAGTCAACGATGCACTAATTTATGAATACCACTAAGAAATCATTTGTATATACACGGCACATACATGTGTAGCACTAATTCATGATTACGCCAACTCCTCCAAACCCAGTGATTGTGCTAAATTTTGAATACGCCAATTTTTGTACACGTACGGTATATTATTGTCCCCCACAAGTTAGGTGACACCAAATGCACAGTTTTTACAGTGAGAATTTTACTATTAAGTACTATGCAGTGACTTATTCATTTTTAAATAGATCAGCACCCTACAGATCATGGATGTTGATGAACGGCGAGATGTCAGCGATGATCAGCTGTTCACAATGAGGCAGCTCACACGTCACGTCTCACTCGCTCTGAAGAAATATTTTGAAGCTCACTTATCTCACAAAGTGGAAGAGATCAAGCGATCTCATGCTCGCAGTGATGACAACAGTTCACCTGTTCATGAAGTTCCTGCTTATAAGGTGACCTTTGATTTGTACAAGGAGTTAGAGTTTAAAGAAATTATGAAAAGATTTTTGAGATTTTTGGGGCATTTTCAACAATTTATCTAAAAGAAATTTTAAAGCTTGAGAATATACACCTGTACATTTATTTCCTTTCTTAAATATATTTCATAAGAAGAGAATATTTATATATTAGGAAACTGATTAATGCTGGTAAATATGTTTGTAACATTGTGAAAGAAAATTTTTGATATAAAAAGAATGCCCTTTATTCAAATCATATTCTGTGTCAATTTTTTTTTTAAATTAATTTTTAGCTCTACTGGTCAGAGACCAGAAGAGCTTATGCGATAGTAAGGTGTCCGTCGTCCGTCCGTCTGTCTGTCTGTCTGTCTGTCTGTCTGTCCGTCTGTCTGTAAACAATTTTTCAAAACGCTACTCCTCCTACAGTTTTGGTCCGATTTCAATATAACTTGGCACACAAGTAGACTACACTAAGATACATAATTTAGTGCATCGGTTTTTGATTTCGATGGACGGTGTTGCCATGGTTACTAAAAATAGAAATTTCTGTGAAATTCCTTTAAAACGCTACTCCTCCTACAGTTTTGGTCCGATTTCAATATAACTTGGCACACAAGTAGACTACACTAAGATACATAATTTAGTGCATCGGTTTTTGATTTCGATGGACGGTGTTGCCATGGTTACTAAAAATAGAAATTTCTGTGAAGTTCCTTTAAAACGCTACTCCTCCTACAGTTTTGGTCCGATTTCAATATAACTTGGCACACAAGTAGACTACACTAAGATACATAATTTAGTGCATCGGTTTTTGATTTCGATGGACGGTGTTGCCATGGTTACTAAAAATAGAAATTTCTGTGAAATTCCTTTAAAACGCTACTCCTCCTACAGTTTTGGTCCGATTTCAATATAACTTGGCACACAAGTAGACTACACTAAGATACATAATTTAGTGCATCGGTTTTTGATTTCGATGGACGGTGTTGCCATGGTTACTAAAAATAGAAATTTCTGTGAAATTCCTTTAAAACGCTACTCCTCCTACAGTTTTGGTCCGATTTCAATATAACTTGGCACACAAGTACACTACACTAAGATGCATAATTTATTGCATCGGTTTTTGATTTCGATGGACGGTGTTGCCATGGTTACTTAAAATAGAAATTTCTGTGAAATTCCTTTAAAACACTACTCCTGCTACAGTTTTAGTCTGCTTCTAATATAATTAGGCATACAAGAAGACTATACTAAGATACATAATTTATTGCATTGGTTTTTGAATTCGATGAACAGTGTTGCCATGGTTACTTAAAATAGAAATTTCTGTGAAATTCCTTTAAAACGTTACTCCTCCTACAATTTTGGTCTGATTTCAATCTAATTTGGCACACAGTTAGAATACACTACGATACATAATATGTATTTCTGTTTTTTTTATTTGGGTGAATGGTGTTGTCATGGTTACCGGTACTAAAAATAGAAATTTCCGTGAAATACTTTCAAAACGCTACTACTCCTAGTTTTCATTTGATTTCAATATAACTTGTCACAAAAGTAGACTACATTAAGATACATAATTCTATTTATTGTTGCATGTTGCAATGTTTCAAATCCAAGTGCTACTTTTCTTTTGTTATACAAACAGACCAGTAGAGCTACAGTCTCATCAGAGACTTCTGGTTTGGATATTTATTAGGCATTGAAGTTAACACCAGAAATTGTTCAAGAGAACGTTGAAATCTTGATGGAGTTGATGCCAGTACGAATTCATTGGGCTCCAGAAATCACTTGCCACAAACTGGGCGGAATTAAACTGCTCTGTCAACTTATTGCACTGGCTCCAAACTGGAACAGCTTTACTGGGAAGTAGGCAGATACTTGTGTTTGGTTGTGTTTTCCCCATGAAACTGTCAAATTCTTAATCCATGTATCTGTACATGTGTTGAATTATAATTAAAATGAATGAATTATCAAAAATTGAGTAAAATGAGTTGTTATAGTTGCTTCCTTTTACTACAGTAGTAGATATTTGGATGTACATGTGTGTCCTGTTTTGGTTCACTGAGTCTTGCTTCATAGATGCTTAATCTAACATTCTTCCTATTTCAGATCAGAAATGATAAAGAACGTTCTAGATGTCATCAATGTATTGGTGTCCACCCCCAGATCTCAACTGGCTCTGTTGGAGTCGGTACCGCTTTACGATAATCTGTCTACACCAGCTGTTAGGTACAGTGAAATGTCTGTGTATAACACTAAAAAGAATATGCATATTAGAAACTTAGTGGAATTTGTTTATAATATAGATAGATTTCTTGGAATCTGTTCCTAAGAGACGTGGATTCTGAAATCTGTGTACTTTAAAATTTTAAAATTACTCTTCAAGGAATTATTTTTAATTGATTACTAATTGTATGATGAATGTAATGTATCCTCATGAGTCATGACTAGGCCTTTATATTGGTCTTGTAGGTTGAGGAGTAATTGTGCAATAAAATGTTGTAACTAACTTTGTAAAACATGTATGCAATGTTTTCTTGTCATTTAGTATTGCAATCCAGTACTGTCAACAACATTTGAATAATTGCTGTATTTTGAAAACTTTTTTTTTGGCACAACAGTGTACTGATAGGCCTTGCTGAGGGAGAAGTTATTCAAGACCCAGAGGTTCAGAAATCGGCCCTGAATGTCATCATCAACTGTGTGTGTGGCCCGGTAGACAAGGTAGTAAAGAGAGTTGTTATTGAGTTCTCCTTCAAGGCAACTGATAGGGATTCATTTTTCAAAAGCAATGGGGATCTAAAATTTGAAAGAAAAAGGGGGGCATGTGGTTATCATAATGGAAAAATTGATCTGCTGGTTACATAAAGAAAAATTTGAGAGGCAAGGAAAGAAGAAAAAATGTTTTGAGGGAGAGGGGGTTTGACTAAGTAATAACAATTAATGTGATAGCATTTGCAGATCATAAATGACTATGATCATAAATGGAGTCCTTCATTTAAATCAGCTTCTGAACTGTTCTTGTTGTTTAGAGGATGAATAACTGGACTTTTTATCTTGGGCAGAAATGAGTAATTACAAAGCTAAAAATGACCTTGACATTGTAGCTGGGAGGAGGTCTAGGGAGATATATAGGGGCTGGATCTAAGAAAAAGATCAACCTCAAAGTAGGTGAAGACATTCTCAGTAAGATGTGGAATGGGGTCAGGATCAACAACGGAATCATGGTAAGAAATAGGTCAAGGTCGCTAATTGTTATTAATAAATAAAAAAAACTGAGGGAAGTTTTTTCAGGTTGTAATTAGTAATAGTTGATATCTTTGGAGAAGTATTGTTTTTTTCTGTTTTAAGGTACTTTTGAAACTGTTGTCCATCAAAACACCCATAACAGATGCTGACTGCATTAGGGCATTGGCTTGCAAGGTAAATTGTAGATAAAATTGGTGAAAATTTTGTCTTGCTAACAAAAAGTAAATGACTACATGTATCTCACAAAAATAGTGTTGTGAAATTTGGTGGTCTACAGTAATGGATTTTTTACTAGCCGTGATATGTATTTATTCTATTTTATATGTACTACCTTGTAACATAATTTCTGGGAATTTTACGTTTTGAGGCCTGGTTAATTTCAGTAATAATCACGTATTTTTTGTATTGAATGTAGTAGGGCTGTGTATTGAGCAAAATATTTTGATACGATACAATACGATATTTTATAATGCGATATATTGGATTATTTATTAAGTCTTTCAAAAATGTCTTATTAATGACATTTAATGCATAAATTTGATAAAAACTGGGTGAGTCTAACATAACATGTTAAAATACAGTTGTCTATGTTTTTTGTAATAGTTATTTAAGATGTGCTTTCTCATTAATGTTTATTTCATTATTGACCAGTTTTAATTCAAAATAGTTCAAAATAATCTTTGGTAACTGAAATTCCCAACATTTTTACAGAATTATAAGGAAAACTGCCTGTCCGATACGTATTGGAAGTTATTTTTTCGATATGATACATTCCTAAATATCGATACGTATTGAATATTCGATATATTGACACAGCCCTAGAATGTAGAGGATTTCAGTAATCTCTACTTATTTTATTTACATGTTTATTGAACCAAAAATACTGCAAACGTTGAATAACCACAGACATAAATGATTATTAGATAATTACTTGCACATTTAAATTGATCATCTCCAGGCTTTGGTTGGTTTATCCCGATCAGAAACGGTCAGGCAGATCATCAGTAAACTCCCTCTCTTCAACAATGGACAGTTGCAATGTAAGTCTCCAGTGTGATTCAGTTTTGAAAAAGATTTTTAGCTCACCTCGACGAAGTCGAGATGAGCTTATGCTATACCCCCGGCGTCGGCGTCGGCGTCGGTGTCGGCGTCGGCGTTAGCGTCGGCGTCCCAGGTTAAAGTTTTAGGAGCAAGTCCCATTCCCAAGTAACTATAAGCCCTACCTGGACCAAACTTGCATGGATGATGCATCTAGGGATGGACACTACCAAACTTGCTTCGGATGCTGGATCTGACCTAGATTTTCCAGATGAGTGACCAGGTTAAAGTTTTAGGAGCAGGTCCATTCCTTAGTAACTATAAGCCCTACCTGGATCAAACTTGCATTGATGATGCATCTAGGGATGGACACTACCACACTTGCTTCAGATGCTGGATCTGACCTAGATTTTCCGGATGAGTGACCAGGTTAAAGTTTTAGGAGCAGGTCCATTCCCAAGTAACTATAAGCCCTACCTTGACCAAACTTGCATGGATGATGCATCTAGGGATGGACACTACTAAACTTGCTTCGGATGCTGGATCTGACCTAGATTTTCCAGATGAGTGACCAGGTTAAAGTTTTAGGAGCAGGTCCATTCCCAAGTAACTATAAGCCCTACTTTGACCAAACTTGCATGGATGATGCATCTAGGGATGGACACTACCACACTTACTTCGGATGCTGGATCTGACCTAGATTTTCCAGATGAGTGACCAGGTTAAAGTTTTAGGAGCAGGTCCATTCCCAAGTAACTATAAGCCCTACCTGGACCAAACTTGCATGGATGATGCATCTAGGGATGGACACTACCAAACTTGCTTCGGATGCTGGATCTGACCTAGATTTTCCAGATGAGTGACCAGGTGAAAGTTTTAGGAGCAGGTCCATTCCCAAGTATCTATAAGCCCTACCTTGACCAAACTTGCATGGATGATGCATCTAGGGATGGACACTACCAAACTTGCTTCGGATGCTGGATCTGACCTATATTTTCCAGATGAGTGACCAGGTTAAAGTTTTAGGAGCAGGTCCATTCCCAAGTAACTATAAGCCCTACCTTGACCAAACTTGCATGGATGATGCATCTAGGGATGGACATGGCCACACTTACTTCGGATGCTGGATCTGACCTAGATTTTCCAGATGAGTGACCAGGTTAAAGTTTTAGGAGCAGGTCCATTCCCAAGTAACTATAAGCCCTACCTTGACCAAACTTGCATGGATGATGCATCTAGGGATGGACACTACCAAACTTGCTTCGGATGCTGGATCTGACCTAGATTTTCCAGATGAGTGACCAGGTTAAAGTTTTAGGAGCAGGTCCATTCCCAAGTTACTATAAACCCTACCCGGACCAAACTTGCATGGATGATGCATCCAGGGATGGACACTACCACACTTGTTCAGATGCTGGATCTGATCTAGATTTTCCACATGTGAGACCAGGTTTAGATTTAGGAGTAGTCTCATTCCCAAGTAACTATAAGCCCTACCTGGACCAAACTTTCATGGATGATGCATCTAGGGATGTACACTAACCAACCTGCTTCGAATGCTGGATCTGACCTAGATTTTCCACATGAGTGAATTTTAGCCATATTTTAACCAAATTAGCATGGATGATGTATCTAGGGATGGACACTTCCAGACTTGCCTTGGATTCTGAATCTGATGTACATTTTCCAGAAGAGTGACCAGGGTAATTTTTTTGGAGTAGCTATATAATATTATGGCCTGTTATGATTTAACTTGCATAGATGGTGCATCTAAGGATGAAAACTTCCAGACTTGCTTTGGATGTTGGAACTGACCAAAATTTTCTTGATTACTAAACAGTTCAAAAGTTTTTTTGAGCAGGTCTATAATTAAATCAAACTTGCATGGATATTGATCTTGGGATGTACCCTAACTAGAAAAAAAATATGATGTGAAATTTGCCTTACATGTAGATAACATTCGTCGAGGTGAGCTTCGTAATCTTTGATTACCTATGTTTTGCAAGTGCAGGTCAATTATACTGTCATACAGCCTTAGCCCCTGAGGGTAAGATGTGACAGTAGTGGTCCAATTTTGACAGAAGAATTTCAAAGAGAAATGTAATTTAAAAATCTTATGAAAAATAAATTTTTAAATTGTAAATTGATATGTAAAGGTCTCTGTATATCATATTGATATTCACTTTGCAGTGTAGACTAAGCTTCATACATGTATTTTCAGTGTTTGGGAAGATAAAGACTTCAAACCATATGAACCTGTAAATGTACACAATGAACAAGTTATTAAGATTTGAAAAATGCATCTCCTTTTCTTTCAGTACTGATGAAAGAACCTGTTTTGCATGACAAACAACAAGAACACATCAAGTTCTGTAAATACGCCAATGAGTTGTTAGAGAGAGTGGTGGGAAAGAAGTCCAGTGCTCACTTGGATGCCTCGCTGGAGGAAATTAGAAGGGTAAACACCATTTTTGTACAAAGATATTTTTAGAATATGTCATAAACAACACTTTAGCAGAAAGGGGAGGGGGGATCAGGTATTTTCAGATTGAGGATTTGAAGTTCAAAATCCATGTTACTGGATGTTTGAAAAAGGAACTAATTTTAAAATGTTTTATTCACATAATTAACGATTTTTAATACATTTAATTTTTTACCTTGCTTGGTCTTTGTAATCCCGTATTTGTATGAAATAGAAAAAATGCAGAGATAAAGTTTAAAGAACTATGCAGGCTAACTCTTGTTTCCCACCTACATTTTAAACACATATAATTCAACATTAATGGTGATTTGGTCATTAAAACTTTGCAAAGTAGAGTTCATTTGTAATTGAGTAATAATTCTAATACCTGAGCTCTTTTTATGAGGGGGTAGCAAAGTTTATCCATTAAAATTGGGCTTAAAACATCCCCGGATTTTAAAATTCTCCAAGATATGGATAAATGACCCTTAAGTGACTCTTAAATCAATCTGATGTTTAACTTATGTAATATTAAACAGATTAATAAAATACAGTTTCATAGTTGTAACCTCATTTAAATTGGTAATAAAATGAACATTTTCACCCTGTTTTGTCTGTAAACATCACTCCCTCACATTTCTGTAAAAAGAATTTTTTGTTTCAAAGGGGGGATGTACATGTATGTTTTAAAAATATTTCCTCTTTTCAATTGATTATAGTAAAAAACACAAGTAGTAGCAAAATTTTACAGTAGTGTCTTTTTGGTTTCCCAAATAAATTATATTTTGTAAACACTCGCATAAATATCGTATATTAATGTGCAAAAAATATTTAAATATGTTAATTTTTGAGAATTGACTTGGAGGTAGGCAACAAAACAATGCTATCGTTTGCAGTTCTTTGAACTTCATAACATAGAAGAAATATACATCTTTTTTTTTATTTGATGTAGTATTTTGACTAAATTTCAGGCTGACATTGTTGCTCAAACAAGAATAACTTTCCAAGAAAAGGAATTGCTTCAATTGATATACAGTCACCTGCAATCAGAAGGTAATTGGCATTCTATTGAAACATTCTGCAATTCCTTAGGCCTCTCTGTCCACATTAAGTCAACAAAACAATAGAAGGCAGTTTTAAGATAAGATGGTTTGTGTGGGCAGCATCTGTAAGAAACAAATTAAATTTTTACAAGTCCAAATTACTTTTCGTGTTTATTAGGCATGGATGTCATGTATTTGGCTTGTTTACTTGAATATCTTTCAGATCAAGCCTTTGCACATTAAAATAACAATGTACACTACATGTATCAAAGTCATTATATATATAAAGAAAAAAATATATCCATCTGTAGAAGATCCAGCTTGGTGATATATCAGTTGTTTCCTGATGCTTGTTTTGTAGGATTAACTGAGGCAGCAGCAGCGCTACAGAAGGAAGCCAGTCTACCTCTATCCATCACACCTCCTAATGTTCTTCCTGTACAACCATGTGTGTTTGCTTCTCCCCACTTAGCATCTCCCAGATTTGTAAGTTCATCAGGTCTATGTATAATGTGTAATTCTGTTTCTGTTTTTTGTTTAGTTTTTAGCTCACCTGAGCCAAAGGCTTAAGTGAGCTTTTCTGATCAAAATTTGTCCGTTGTCTGTCGTCGTTGTTGGCGTTGGCGTCGTCGTTGTTGTAAACTTTTCACATTTTCATCTTCTTCTCAAGAACTATTGGGCCAATTTCAACCATACTTGCCACAAAGTATCCTTGGGTAATGGGGAATCAAATTTGTTCAAATGAAGGGCCACGCCTTCTTCCAAGGGGAGATAATTAAGAATTCGTGAAAAATTAATGGCATCATTAAAAAATCTTCTTCTCAAGAACCACTGTGCTTGAAAATATGAAACTTATGTGGAAGCATCCTCAGGTAGTGTAGATTCAAGTTTGTTCGAATCATGACCCCCGGGGGTCGGGTGGGGCCACAATGGGCGATCAAAGTTTTAAATAGGAATATATAGGAAAAATCTTTAAAAAATCTTCTTCTCAAGAACAGCAAAGCCATGATTGGTCATATTTATATGGTAGCATCCTCAGATAATATAGATTCAAGTTTGTTCAAATCATGACCCCCGGGGGTCGGGTGGGGCCACAATGGGCGATCAAAGTTTTACAGAGGAATATATAGGAAAAATCTTTAAAAATCTTCTTCTCAAGAACAGCAAAGCCATGATTGGTCATATTTACATGTGGAAGCATCCTCATATAGTGTAGATTCAAGTTTGTTCAAATCATGACCTCTGGGGGTCGGGTGGGGCCACAATGGGCGATCAAAGTTTTACATAGGAATATATAGGAAAAATCTTTAAAAATCTTATTTTCAAGAACAGCAAAGCCATGATTGGTCATTTTTACATGGAAGCATCCTCAGATAGTGTAGATTCAAGTTTGTTCAAATCATGACCTCTGGGGGTCGGGTGGGGCCACAATGGGTGATCAAAGTTTTACATAGAAATCTTTAAAAATCTTCTTCTCAAGAACAGCAAAGCCATGATTGGTCATACTTACATGGAAGCATCCTCAGATAATATAGATTCAAGTTTGTTCAAATCATGACCCCCGGGGGTCGGGTTGGGCCACAATGGGCGATCGAAGTTTTACATAGGAATACATAGGTTAAATCTTTAAAAATCTTCTACTCAAGAACAGCAAAGCCATGATTGGTCATATTTAAATGGAAGCATCTTCAGATAATGTAGATTCAAATTTGTTCAATTTATGACACCCCCCCTCCCCCCGAACCACTTTTTTATTCAAACTTTTCAACCTTTCAAGACTGAACTGATTTCTGCTTTTTCCTAGCCATAGTGCTTAGGTGAGCGATGTGGCCCCTGGGCCTCTTGTTAATCCTTTCTATGGTAGTAGATTTCTTAAGATGCTTTGTGGTGGTAAATCTCTTGAAATGCTTCTTGCAATCATAAAAGTGTGGTTTAAAGGTGAAGATTAAATTCTGAAAAATCATTCTGGATTTCTTACTGAGCATAGTTTTTATTTACAGACCAGACAGATCAGTCATCCCTTAGCCTCACACATCACTCCTGATGTCCCATCTACAAGTTCTGGTCTCCATAGCAACTCTAGCAGTCAGAGGGACAGTCCAACTAACTCAGGCTCCACCCCCGGCACACCTGGACCAATCAGATTTCATCTCGGTCGGCAACACCCTCAGGCCTCACCAGGTCTAGGACAAGTTAGGGTTGGTGTTGATCTATAAGAAGATTTTTACCTAGCAATACCTCCATCACATAATGACAGAGGCTTAGAAACAAAAAATAGGCAAAGTATCAAAAGCTAGTCAATCATGGGAAAGAAAGATATGAAATTTGAGTATTGTAGAATGATTCAAGATAACAGAGAATTTATCACTTATATGTTTTTTTGCATATAAAGAATTACTTTCCTAGAAAAATATGATTTGGGGAAAGGGGTGGTGTGAGTAAATCTTAATATCCTTTGCTAACATGCTGTAAGTTATGTTTTCTCAAAATCACATGGAGGCTTAGTAAAGAAGTTTTAGAAAGGCTGTCTATCAGTAATCATAAAGTAGTGTCTTTCTAAATGTATCCTGCATTATTGCTAATAATATAGCAATATTATATCATAATTATATTGCTATTATAATTCAATGGAGTTTAAGAAATTCAAATGGTCATTGTTTATACAAATGTTAATGGTTTTTTGCAGGCTTCAAATAGCAAGAGTAGATTTAGCTCGGAAAAAGATTGCATTCTGTCTAGTCCTGCCTGGAGGACAAAAGGTCTTCTGAAAGGTCAAGGAGAATATGATATGACCTTGGATAAAATTGTGACAGAGTATTTACGTAAACAGCATGCTCTGTGTCGAAACCCTGTCACCACCTGTCCACCCATGTCTCTGTTCCAGTAAGTATTTGTACTGATTATAGAACTACACATCTAGACTTACAAGGAGTAAGTTACAACTGGTAAAATCATAGACAATGAAAAGTGAATGGAATTATTTGAATAACTTTTGATATGTTTAATATAGAATATATATTGATATATGAAGTGTGAGGAATATACATATACAATGTATAGTCAAACCTCGTTATCTCAAACTGGATGGGACCGAGAAAAAACTTAGAGATATCCGAGAAAATACTTCGAGATAACCGAGGATTCAAGATATCAAGGGTAAAATACTTAAAGAATAAGTCGTTGGGACTTCCAAATCATTTCAACATATCCATGGTGCTCGAGATATCAGTGTTCAAGATACCGAAGTTCAACTGTACTTGTATTTTTGTGTTGCCTGTGTAGCATTGCAGACACATGTGTACATGTATCACTCTCCATTCCTCTGTCAAGGGTGGTGACATTTAGTATAGAACTCTCTTTTTTTTCGAATCAGATCAGTCTGATAATGAAAAAAAAAACACATCTGGATAAGATGCAGATATGCTTTTGAAATATTTCATTCCAAAATACTTCAACAATGTATTTTAAGTGATGGATGTTCAATGTACCTGTTCATGTATCTTCTTCCGTATTCTGGTAAGGACCAGCAGGAGTAATATTTACCAGTTTACTGATGTCCTTTCTTAAATTTTTCAGACCCCATAGATGTCCTGAGCCCAGGGGAAGAAGAATGGCCCCTATTAATTGCACATCTAGGATTTATAACAGAATGGTAAAACAAATAATGTGATATACATGTATTAAATCAGCTTATCAAATTAATGGGCAAATATTCTTTACTGACAGAGATGTCTAATGCTTGGCACCATGCAAAACAAATTTGAATCGTAAATCTCTTTTATTATTTGATTGGTTTAAGTAAAATTTGCAGTTGGGGCCCAAGGTAGGAGGAATTGGAGGACCCAGTGTGGATAGGAAGTTCATATACAGTCGGTAAGGAAAAAGGGGGGGGGGCATGATATTCTGATGGAAAAAAAATTGTCCAAACTTGGATCTCACATTAAGCTTACACCTATAAATTATTTTACTATGTCACATTTCTAGGTTTAGGCCATGTCAGTCTTACAGAAATGCAGATGATGGGGGCATGCTGTGTTGTTCTTTTTCAGTGAGTAAAATTGGTGCTGGAAAAAATTAGGAGAATGATTTCTGTTATTCATGATATACTTGCATACAAGTTTTGTTTTTTTTTTGCTCTCAGAATACAAAATGATAATTTTTTTCCTATTTTAAATTTGTCCAAAATTATTTCATGTTTTTTATGTGATGTGTAAATAAACCATGTCTGATTTTCTTTGTATTTAATGTACAGAGGGATGAGCAGTATTTGATGTATGGGACTTTCTGGGGAGACATCAAGCTAGTCAGTTTACAGTCTGGAGAGGTATGGTTTAGTTATTGTCTGGCTCCTTATTGTTAAATGTCACAATTTTTTTTTTCAAAATGAACTCAGTATATACAATGAAGATTTTTAAAATATTTAAAATTTACCCAAAAAGAGAAAAAATATATTCATATAATTTAAGTGATTTGAGTGATTTTAATTTTTTTCATATGATTACACTTGATTCATGTATAAGCAAACTTAAATATTTTTTTTTAATTCTATGATACAGGAAACAGCCAGTTATAATTTCCATCAGGTTGCGATAGAGGATTTTCAACAAGCAAGAGTAAGTGGCTTGAATAATAATTATAAAAAAAACCCCAAAAAAACATAACATTGACTTATTGCAGTGATGTATGTTGGTAGTGTATACATGTAGGTTTTTTTAATCATAAGAGTTTTTACGATTTTATTAGGACTCAGATTTACTATTGATCAGTTATGAAGACAATGGATCAGGGGTTTGGACGTATGGCGATGTTGTAGATAATAAGTAAGTACTACACCTGTTTTTACTCGCAAGAAACTGTTTTACCTCCAGCAATTCAATAGCTTCTAAAAGGTGAAAGTTAAAACTTAAAAATCATTAATTCAAAGTTTATTTTTCTGTTGAATAGATACAGTTTTGAGGACAGTCATATTGAGTTTAGCAAACAGGTTCAAGACCGAATCATCGGGACTAAAGATGAAACAGCAAATGTAAGTACATGCACATGTTGCTCAACTCAAGTCATTTCAATGGAGCATGATCCTCTATTCACTAAATGGAAATTTTTCTGTAATTATGAAAAATGTTTTATAAATGGGAAATGGAGATACATGTACATGTAAGAATGAAATACAAGCAAATTTGTTGTATCATATGGGGAAGAAATTTTGAGACAATTTATTGTTGAAAATGAAGAATTTTATAGAGGAAACATAGTGATAAATCAATTATGAGTTATCTTCTTTTAGCAGGGCCTGTGAGGGCTTAAGTTCATTGACAGTGAAAAGTTAAAAAATGTAAATTCAGTTGCAGAGTTGGACATATACATGTATTTTATATGCTGACTACCTGGGTTGAGAGAATGATATTTATTCATTACACTGCAAACTTGTTCTTGTAACAATCATTTGTTATGTTCTAGATTTACGATGTCTCCACAGGCCAAAGAATTCTCAAACTGTACGATCCAAACAAAGCTAATAACTACCTTAAAAATCGAGCAACATTTAACCCTACAGATGAACTTGTTCTCAATGATGGGGTCTTGTGGGATGTACGGAGTGGAAAATCCATCCATAAGTTTGACAAGTTCAATTCCAACATTAGTGGAGTGTTTCATCCAATGGGATTGGAGATTATTATCAACTCAGAAGTGGTATCCTTTTTCTGAAATTAAGGATTAAAAGAATTATTTAATAACGTGTGTGGTGCAATTTTTTTTAAAGAACTTTTACTAAGTTTTGGATGTGCATCAACTAAAAATAAAATTTGACCTTGTTCTATTGACTGACTTTACGCAACTGATTTCATCAAAATTAAACAGTCTCTCTTAAAATGATACTTGCTTTATGAAGTTTCTTTTTATCCATCAGGAAATGTAGAAAATTTACAACATTACTGTTTGTATAGAAATTTTATATAAGCTTATTAAGTTTTCGCAATTTATATCTCAGATCCTTTGTGAGGGAATTATATTTATAGAAGAAATGAAACATTACATACAAATACATGTTATATTTTTTTGAAACAGAGTATGCAATAACATAAGTCAAAGCTTTTCATCTATCACAAAATTCTCTCAGTCTGTACCCCCCCCCCCCCAAACCTTTCCTCTCTTCCCACCCCACCCCCATTAAGATTGAAATATTTACCATAATGATTGTAAAAAGTTTATTCCATTTTATGTTTCTGACCAGGTGACAACCATCAACTTTAATGTCCTCTTTAAGTAGATTTGATACACTAAAAACCATTTTATGTTGATCTTTAACTGCATAACAGTGGGACATCAGGAACTATCACTTGCTGCACACAGTCCCAGCCTTGAACCAGTGTCAGATTCGCTTCAACAATCTAGGAGATGTTATATATGGTGGGCATTTTTCTTGTATATTTTGCAATTTGAAGACAGAGAAATCTGAGAGAACTTGGTGCCTTATTAACCCAGGTGCTAAAAATCTGTAAGCTTCAAAATCCAGACAGTATGTTTTTTTTTTTAATCTTATTCTAGAACAAGTTTAAATCACATTACACAAAAAGTTTAAGATGCCATTCAGTAAATGGGAAAGTGTATATCCAGTCAGTTCCAGTATGGATGACTGACAACCAAATTAATGATACACCAGTGTAGCACCAAAGCATAGATTTCTCTGTGGTCATGTATGAAGATGATTCTCAGAATTTGTCATTTTTGCTAAGGAGAGAGAATACCTACATATTTAAGTACACGTACATGTAGGCATATACTGGAAAGTGAAAACTATGAGTAGTTTCACAAAATCAACTGCAAATGTAACATTTTAATGAAAAGGAGAAGTTTTCATTTTGAAGATACAAGCACAAAAAAGGCACACAAAAATATTACTGTATCCATATTCTTTATGCTGCAAAATTTATGACTTAACCATTAAAGATCATTTTCTTTATTTTCCATTTATGAAGATTTTATCTGTAAATGTCACTGTGTTTTCTTTCCAATGTATTCCTAGATATTTATGAAGATTTTCCCAGTAAATGTCATTGTGTTTTCTTTGATTGTATTTCTAGCTATTTATGTAATGGATGAAGAAATGGATGATTTTAAAGTCAGGAGTCCCTACAGCTCAACCTTCAGAACATTTGATTCCACAGACTACAGCTCAATAGGTACAAACATTTTCTTGATATTCTCAGAAGAATGTGTAGTTTATCCTAAATACCATTTTCTATAAAATTCATAGAAAATATTCATGTTTTTTATGCCCTGTCATGGGTTGTCATTCATGTCTGCCTTTCCACCCCTCCATCTATCCATCTTTCCATCTGTCCGTCAGTCACACTTTGCATTAAACTCAATTTCAAAGACACTATTCAAGATATTTTTATGAAACTTCATATGCTGGGTATGCTGATACAAATTGATGAGTGCTATCCATTAGGCTAAGCATAAAAATGTTTGATCTTGATGTTCCCTTTGACCTTGAACTTACTTTTCTTAAATTTGTGTGTAGCTCAGTTTCAAAGAAGCTATTCAAGATATACATGTATTTATCAAACTATATATGCTGATACATATTATTAAGAGCTATTCAACATCATCAATTTTTTTTACCTTGACCTTCTCCATGACCTTAACCTTACTATTCTGAAATTTGTGTAAGCTCAATTTCATAACTAGTCAAGATATTTTTATCAAACTTCATATGCTGATACACATTGGTGAGAGTTATTCAACTGTGTCTTAATTTTCTGACCGTAACCTTTCTTGTAACCTTGACCTCACTTTTCCTCATTTATCCTAATCTTAAACGAAGAAGCAAGGTACATTTTTTTTTTCATGTTGCATTTTTAATAAACTATGGGACGGGCATACATGTCATATGGACATATCTAGTTTGAATTATGATATTATAGCAGTTTAAAAGAAATGTAATCCAATGTATGAAAATTGTTTTAAAATAATTTCAGCTACAATAGATGTGAAGTCAAAGAGTATCTTAGACTTGTGTACTGACAAATCTGACTGTTACCTGGCAGTGGTAGAGGTAAGTGACCTTTAACCTCTGACCTATATATGTTGAGAAGAGGGATCGAATATACAGTAAGGATTGCATTACTTTTTTGGCTCAGCATTTGGATGCATGTTCATGTATCGAACATCACAGAGTAAGCCTATTTAAGACTGTATTAGAGTGACTTCAAGAATTACTATGAGAAAGGTTTTCTGGCAGCATGTTGATAGTTTCTTTTAGGGATTGAGAGAATTTATGAAATTGCATATATGTGTACTTTACTTCAATTCCCTTCATGACGTATTTGCTCCTTGAAGCATATGTTACTTTTGAACTAATATCAGGGATATGTAGAGATGAGGTGGCAGTTCCAACTGCTTTTTCTTAATGTACTTTACACTCGTTATCTCAAATCTCCAGATCCTGCTGAGTTCGAGATAATGAGGTTTGAGTGTACATGTACCATGAAAATTTTTTAATGGCGTTTAAAAATTTCAGTGCTGGCATTGACACAGAGATTTTTATTTTGACAGAACCTGAACACAGACCTAGGCACAGAGGAGTTTGTGTGTAAGCTGTATGAGGTCGGGAAACTCAGAGATGAGGAGGATAACCAGGTATGTGATAGCCCTCCAGAGGAAATCATGGAGTTGTCACTTACGGATTGTATTCTAAAGAAAGTACAGTGTAGATCTGAGGCAAATATAGGGTGGCCATGCATAATAATGACCAGACCTGTTTACTTTTATGATTTCGACGTATTTTGTAAGGATTTTGAGTCCAAAATATGTCTCACATTTTGATATTATGAAAATAGGGAAATCAGAAATCTTTTTGTTTGGATTTGATTTTAGCAGTTAGTTTTTGTTATGATTTGTCTCAGTTTGACGCTTTTTAATTGCTACAAAAAGAGAAAGATTTCAAACACTTGAGTGATGTCGGGTTGCCAAAATGCGGTGGTTTAAAAAATGACAGAAATGGTAATCAGAAATGTAGTTGTTCTCTAGGTATATATGTAAAATCGATGGAAAGAGAAATCTAACTGGCAAATGCCAAATCTCACTGACAAATCTAATAAAAAAAACTGAGAGACAACAATATGGGTAAACAGGTCTGAATGACACACAAATGATTCACTGTCATTCACTTGTTTTTGTTAAAAAAAGTGTGTGTGTTAGTTGTCACCTTAAGTTGGAACATTAAAATCAGTTACTGTGTATGCACACTATAACTGAAAGCTTATTTTTTAAGTATATGGGGGGGTGGGGGTGGAGGGAATGTCTGTTCAAATTATTTTTCTTATTTAGCAATATAATGTTAATGAATATTTGAATTATAAGGCATAATTGTTTTGAAAAAGCAGTTTTATTAAAAAAAAAAACATATATTTTTTAGTCGCTGAAAAACTTGCAATCACTTACGCGTTCAGATATGTTGAATTTTAAAAGAGAAGGTACTTGCTCTCACTCTCGGCATTGAGCTCTTTAAATTGATTTTGTTTTATTTTAGCCTGAAGATGATGATGAGGATCTGGAAGAGGTTGATGAAGATGATGACGATGATGATGATTCTCATTTGATTGATTTTAACGACTCCAATGATGAGGGTAACCATCATTATTCTGTTGCACATGTTCTAACAATGCATTCTAACAATGCATTTAAATTTGCAGCAACTTAAAAATATGTACATACAAGGCCATCTTTAAAAAAAATGTTTGTTTGCCCTCCTGACTCACCGTAGGTGGGCAGTGAAATTTTTTTTCCTAGAATTTTTTAACGTCAATGCTGAATTTTGAAAATGGAAGATATTAATTAAATTGAAATAATTGTTGACTGGATGAAAAATGTGGAGGTTTAAAAAAGTTTTGAGTCAGGCCATTATTTGTGAGTCATCGGGAGAGGGTTAACAGACAATTTTTTAAAGATGGCCCAAAGATAGATTTGACTTGCAACTATATTCACACATGCACAAGTACATGAAAACTGAAATGAAAATTTGAAGTAAATTAATTTTTTTGATATGAAGAAGACAGTATAGTTTTCTAAAGGAGAAAATTTTTTTTTTGAAAACAATCTGCATTTTATGGAAATGAGCAACTGCATAGCAATATCCAAGAAGTACTTGGAAGTACATATTGTCGAAATGTGCATCTGGTGCTTCAAAATATATGATTTACATTCTGTAATTTTCTACTTAGAAGTTCTTGGAAGTACCCAAGCTTTATAGTACTTCTGTATATACTTTCTACTTGTGGAAAGGAAATTCTCTGGAAATTTGTGTATTATGCTTTGCAAACTGTAATACTTAAAAATGATACCTTTCTCTGATGTGGCATCAGATTTCTTAACAGATGATGATGATGAAGATGAAGATGATGAAGACAACGATGGAAATGAAGATGAGAATGATATGTTTTCCCAAAGTGAGGGATATAGCGAGGATGGAGACGATGATATCAGTGACGATGCTTTGTTTGAACTTTTATGATGAGTGTTGTCATAGATACATGTATTTGGGAATTATCTGGACTATTTTTAATGCATAAAAAAAAATTGTAAAAAATAAGTAAATGTTTTTAAAATTCTGAAGGTGACTGAACATAAAAGGCCATGGCTAAAAATATACAGCTGTACGGTATGTTTTGGTCAACTGTTTACCAATAGTAATGAAAAAAAAAATGAAATGCAAGGTATTAACAGTCTTTACTTTATACCTGGTCAAGCTACATGGACATATTTCAAACTTTCTTCCTGAAAAATGACAGGCATAAGAATTTCTGTTACGAAATTATCAGGTGCTACAACTGTACATACATGTAGGTATTTTACATGTTATTGTAGATAATGGTGAAGATTATTTCACATTTGTTGTGGTGTTTGTCAAAATGTTATTTTATTATTTAAGAAATATTAATGATGGACACTGAGTTGTACATTTGCATGTCAATAAATTTAATTAATTTTATTTATTGTCTTTAGGGTCTATCTTTAATACTGGCTACTGTTTTTAAGTGGCAGATCTTATCAGAAATTCATAAAAAAGTTAAATGTTTTAAATTGTTTATTTCAGCTAGAAAAAAGATGTGCAATAAGTCAGTTGATATAAATGTAGCCTTTTTAGGTTCAGGTGCTTGAATGAAGTCCTTTTAATGTTAGATGTTTGTCATTTTTATACCTTTCCTTGGCATTGGATCCCGTTTTATGAATCGGGAAAAAAAAAGTTGCACACAATGATGTGATGGGGGACATTGAGTCAGACCCCCCCCCCCCCCTTCCAACCCAGACCCCCACCCAGTATCTTGGACTTTCTTAGTTGGCAATTCACATCCAGATGGTATTTGATGGAAGTTTAACTTCTCTACGTTACCAACATTGCATTCATTTCACAAGGTCAAAACAAAGAGATTGACATTTCAGAAATACAGCTATTGATTTTATTGTCAACATTAAAACTGAACTGTATGTAAGGACCTCAACTAAAACATACTTATACATGTATAACGGGAATGGCACACATAGGTTTAGATTATCAGTGATGAATCAAACTGGCTGTTTTAAAGAATTCTTCTCCTTGTTAAAATGTTTTGAAAGGGTAACCGATGCAGGAAAGTATCTGGACTCTATTAGCATGATTAGTAATGCGTATTATGGCAAAAAAAAAAAAAAAAAAAAAAAAATCCTTATTAGGGTCCACATGTCAATGCCCAGTATGAACGATTTTATTCTTCAAGTTGAAGCTTTATACATCAATTCAATAAATTTACTAATTATTGTTTTGAGAAAATGACGTCGCTAGCGATGAGTTAGCGTACAGGTACTTGTTTCGTATATGGGTCAACCTCCTTTGTTTAATTTCTGGATTTGGGTGATATATATATATATATATATATATATATATATATATATATATATATATATATATATATATATACACGAAATAAGTGTCCATGGCTTTTGTGTGTATGAGAAACTGAATACAAAATACATTTCTACGTAAAATTTTAGTGCCTCTCGAAAGACCTGTGCTATATTCTGTACAAACAAAACTGCTTTCCTTGAGAATACCTGCAATTAATAACAGTAAAGCATGTGTTTTCGTTGAAAGAAAAGTGCTAACAATAATCCAATTGCGTTTAAAGACTTCACGGAAAAGATATATATAGGCTATCATTAAAGACTATAGTACGTAAAATTAAACCTACAAGAGAAATTTAAACGTGTCTTATGGGAGAAATGTAGACCATGCTTAAAGACCAGTTTACGGATTTAAATTTTTTAAATATGGACCTACTGATCGAGTGTATTTCAATATTTGGAACAATTCTGCTTTTTTCGGGTGAGTGTTTGAATATACACGTAAATATAAGATTTTAATCATAAAAAGTGATATGAGATCACGCCGAATTCCTGCTTCGTTTGATTACCTGTACAATTACTCTGAAAAATGGTAAATTATTATTAATAAATGACGAACAGTTAAATCAACGGAAAACCAAACTTTGATGTACAGAATAAATTTTAAAAAAGCACAGGAAATGAACCTTTACTAAAAGCCCTCTTCTGTTTTCCCCCTATAATCCTATTTAAAAGACCCCAAATAAACTTGTGATAGGAAGTTTGTATGGCAGATGACTTACATGTATATTTGTCAATACATTTAACTCTGAACCTTTAATAAGTGTCTCTGAAATATTTTGTAGATATATCGTGTATAACTTTACATTTTCATTACAACTGTAAATAATTCGTTCGACAATCATTATAATTATTGTATATATTACTGGGAAAAGTTTTCCTAAGTTGTTAGAACTTGTAACCAGTCCTTTTATATTAATTGTACAATAAAATATATTCAAAACAAAACAATACACTAGATTGGAGAGAAGGGGAAAAATAGTGAAAATAAATTTTAACTTCTTTACACAGCTTAATTGTAATTTGCATATACATATATGTATGTGTGTGTGTGTGTGTGTGTGTGTATATATATATATATATATATATATATATATATATATATATATATATATATATATATATATATATATATATATATATATATATATATATATAAACTATCAATTGATATTGTATATAAAAAGAAATCTATCGATCCACATTGTGACCGAAATTTCTTCTCTTGTATTTTATTAGTAAGCCAGTGATCTCGAATAATCAATAGTTAAACATACAAAGATCCCCACGTTTCTTTGGTTAAGACCCAACTTTAAATATAGGATTATTTATATCTATATACATACATGGCATGTGCATACCGGCAAACAAAAGTCTAATTACAGATTAAGTAATTAAATGTTTGAAATTAAGTATTTAAAAAAGTTAATCTAAAGCTGTAATTATCTGAATACAGTTTGATTATAAGTTTATCACACACGATAACTACGGAAATGATTCGTTAGAATTCGATGCGAGTGTAAACTTGTTTTGTTTTACTTTCAGTTTAATTCATATTCTATACAGGATATGCCATTAAGGTGTTCACCTTGTTTGGAATCATCTAGAAAGTACCACAAAATTATTGTTATGAGAAAGAGAAGGGGTGTATATATGGATATTCAAGTATATGAAACACATGGCCGTAGGACCCCCCCCCCCCCTTTTCCATAATTTGCCGAAATATATACTATAGAAAACTTAGCTGTTTGTGCTTCTGCCACTTCAATAACATGTGAATACTTTTTTTGGCTTGTCAAGGAATTTTTGCTCGATGGTGCCCCCCACCGTCCCCCAAACTGAAAACATTTGGTTGTGCCCCCCCCCCCCGGAAATTGCTTCCTATGGGCCTGAAACAATGAAATTAAACAGTATGTCGAGATTAAAGAAGTGTGCAAACTTGCTCAACATTTCACAAAAATAATCTTTCTTTTCTCTTAGACCCTATTTTCATCATATACATTAAAAGTCTACATGTTTTATACATTTTGATGTCATTAACATACGGACAACTTCGACGATGCGATATTATAACGTGAAGAGGTCACCCAGTCACCCATCCAAGAGCTGTGTACTTACTCGCTGCAACTAGAAATGGAGACTTTACCACATAACTACAAAAGCTAGCTCACTAGTTCTCTATATATCCCCCTACCCCACTCAGGTAGCTTCTTCCCAGATGATTTGGGGAAAATGCCTGAAGTTTTATACCAAAAGGGGCCCATTACGCCCATTGCTACAGCACTTTATTGCTTGTTAAAGTAATTCATATTTTTGTATATTTGTCTTAATGTGACATGTTTTAAAAGATTGTCATATTTTTTTTTCCAGTTGAAGATTGTTTTAGCGCGAGATACCATCAGCTTTACTATACATATCGTAACAATGATGAAAGGTGAGACATCTTAAACCATCATCATTTTCTGTTACACTAGCTTTTGAAACTGTTTTTATTATATCATGAAAGTAACCATTTATACTAGTGGACACATAATTAACATTATCAAGACAAAACTTGCAAATCTTTCTCTGTAAGTGGTCCTGATCTACATGTTTTGCTTTGCCCTTGATACTTACCCTTTCACAACCGACATCGGTTTTTAAGCTACATTTGAATTACAAAAAAAAAAAAAAAAAAAAAAAAATATCTGTGGTGCGAGAAAAAAAAATTGCACTTTGAAGTACGGAGCGCCAAATTAATATCTCATATAATTGAAGTTATCTCTATATGTATGAAACAGGGTTCGACTCTTACATTTTTAGGCTTTAGTCCGGCCGGACTAATGCTTCTTTACTTTTATTAGTCCGCACGCGATTTTATGAGTCCGTCAAAAAAAAGAAAAAAAGAAAGAAACATAAATGTTTTTAAACATTAATTTAAATTGACAATTAATAGACGTTTTATATTTTTTTTGAAATAAACAAAGCATTTATATGAAATACATTATTTCACAGATTCGTTGAAATCTCGCAATCAGCAAGTACGATCGTATTCCCGATCTCGTTTTTTTTTTTTTTTTTTGTCTTTACATTACATCCAAAACGTCCAACATCTTTCTTTAAAGTGTCATACTAAATCATGATCGCTAAAAAAATTTACTTGACTCAGAATTACGTAACTACCCGCCAAAAGCTAGAAGTCTAAGAATACACGGAGGTTTTCCAGTAAATGTTGTCGAGAATCTGACATCGGTAATTTATTCATATTGTTTTCCAGAAATTTTTATTGGTCCGCTCGGACTAATTAGCCACAGATTTTATTAGTCCGAATGAAAATGTATTAGTCTGAGACTAACGGACTAACGTTAGTGTCGAACCCTGTGAAATGTATGAAAATTTCAAAATATCATCAATTCATTTAATGTGCGCAACAATTTAATTAAAACTCTCTTTAATTATAATAATGTTATCTTCAAATCTGTATTTACTTGCGTAATACATGTAATTGAATTGCTGCTCTTTACAAATATTATTATGATATCAACAGAGAGCGAGAGCAATTATTTTTTATTATTTTTTATTACGAACCCTAAATTTATTTTGTGTTGAATAATTCCACCACATTGTTGAGTTTAAAAATTGAATTGATGCGTGCTTTAAATCCACCAAGTGAGTTGATGCGCGAGCCAAATCAATTACTGCCCTCATCAGTTCAATTAATGCGAGAGTTAATTGGTTTGAACATATTTTATTCAAGATCAAGTTCTTTGTTTCTTTGCGTCATACGACACATCAGATTACATATAGTAATAACTATAAACATATATACAATATCATAAGATATAACAATATGATATATAATATATAATTTATAATTACAATGTGATTAATGGGCACAAGTTCTGAAAACTTATGCCCTTTCCCTACATGTATATTACAAATTTAAATTGTCAGAAATAAACATGAAGTTTTAAAGTGTACAATATTTGCAAAAATTTACAAATCAATGCATTTTGTATCATTCTCTGCAGCACTTAATGAATATATCCCCCATAATAAGACATGTGTATCTAAAATGTGGATTTTATCAAATAGTAAAAAAAAATATTGAAAAATTCTGTCCTGGCTTTAAAATAATTTGGACATATAAGAAAAAAAATAATGATATGTATCCTCTATTTTACCACACGAGCATAGAGGGCTTGATATTAAATAGCATCTGTGCAGGCCATTATTCAATACACAATTATGCCGAATTCTGGTTTGAAGAACATTATATCGTCTGTTACCGTATTAGTTAATTCAGTTGATGCGCTCAACAATTAATCGATCGCGAAGAGAGCAAATTATTTGAATTGATGATATCTTCAAATAATTAATATGTTATCGTTGATTTGAGTTTGGCGCTCCATACGGAGGGAAAAAAATTATATCTTTTCTTGTGAAGGATAGATAGATTGTGCATACTTAGTCAATTTAAACTGAGTAATGATACATACTAGTAATAGGTTTCACGCGGGTATCTTTAACATTTATTCTGAAGTAAAATAAACACGATGCTTGAACAGATCAGTTCAAAATTTAAATATGTCGATCGTGACTTTATTTCTTTTAAGTATTTACTCAGTCTTTCAAACATGAAAAACGAGCCGATTTTTGAAGGTCATATAATGTATCTTCATTCTACTATGACCGAGTTACATAGGAAATAATCTATCATAGGCTTAGATTGGCATTGTTAATTATAAAACTTGATATTGTTTCCTGTTGCTTCATTTATTCATAATAATCAATCATGACCGTGGAAACCGGGCGGGGGCGTGCCCCCCTCCCCCCCCCCCCCAATAATTTCGCCGATATATAGAATACTTACTATATGCTATATGCTTGTGCCCCCTCAATAATAACGTCTGATGACTTTTTTTTTGCTTGTCAAGGAATTTTTGGTAGTTGATAGTGCCCCCCCCCCCTGAAAATATATGGTTGTGTCCCCTCAAAGTGGAATTGCTTGCTATGGGCCTGTCAATTATATTTTATTCAAAGAGTTTTTTGAAGACTGAAAAGCGTTATACAATATATTTAAGTTTCATTTATGTTCATTTTAAATAGTTTTAGAATAGTGACTTTATTATGCAAATTTTTTTTTTGTGTGTCTGTCCTTTTCAAATCAATTTTAAGTTAAATTATTAATTAAGTACTATTCCACCTAAAAAACCATGCAAAGGGTGCTAAAGTGATAGTTTGATAAGTTGTTTGTTTTTACTTTATATGTTTCAATATGGTATTAAAATAAAATTAAAAAACAGTAATAAAAAAACAGTCTTTTTGAGTTAATCAAAATATATTTATTAAATTGCGTCATTCGAAATTTAAAAAAAGAGAGTAGAATATAGCAGAGGGGGTACATGTTGCTATAAACACTATGAATGTTTTGAAATTGCACCAGGTGGCATTTTATTGAACTTTAATTTATCTATCTTACGAAAATGTGCAACAGTATGTCGGAGTCGGATAAAGGACACTTGTTTGCAAGTCTAGTTCAATTCATTTAAGTTTTTAAAACGTATTTTTTGTGGCCAATAAGAATTTTTTTCTTTCATGGAACTAATGTCTCTGGTGTTATATCCGTTTACAAAACTACAGTCTATATTTAAGATGGTATGCCACACCAAACTTTTATTTACTGAATTTTTGAGTTTTAACATGATTTTATCATTGAAAAGATTAATATGAGCTCTTAATTATTTTACACGATTTTTTTTGTATTTTTTCCAGAGAAAATGGAAAAACATTTTGGTTGCAAATAGCTTTTATTTATATAAATAAATAAGAACAACGTCCCTCTGTCTTTAACATGTTTTATCAAATTTTTGATGTTATATGAATGACACGTGAAACTCCCTTCGGGAAAACATCCAGAAATAAGCCAATGTTTTAATTGTTGCAGTTCTGATAGCTGGATCGCTGGAGCTGTAGTTGGTGGAATATTTGGATTCATTGTGTTAATTACTATTACCTACATATGCTGCCAGGCTAATGGCTGCTGCAAAACGGTTAAACCGCAGCATCGCCAAAGAGCCATAGTACCTGTCGGTAAGTACCCAGGTAACCGCAAATACATACAAATATCACAACACCAAAGAGCCACAGTACCTGTCGGTAAGTACCCGAATAACCGTTATTAAATGTAAATATCATAGCATCACCAAAGAGCCATAGTAATTGTCGGTAAGTATCTGAATAACCGCAAATACATACAAACATCACATCACTAAGAGCCACAGTACCTGTAAGTACCGCAATAACAGCAAAAAGAAACGATCCGAATACCGCATCATCACCAAACAGCCATAGTTACTGCCTGTAAGTACCAAAATAACTGCCAAACCGAACAGTTAAACTGAATGTCATATATTATTATCATCTGTATATTTGTTATTTATTGGAAAATAATTGGCGTGTAGTGACAATCAAGCACGCTTGTCATATTTGTTTATGTTGTGTGCTTCTTGTGAATTTACGTTATGCATGGTCACGTGACATTTCTATTTTAAATTTGAATTATACGTCTTTCTGACATGACATGGCATTTTTTAAATTTCTACACATAGCATGTAAATGTAAAGCGGACACCCCCCCCCACCCCCCCCCACCCCCCGCCCTGCCCTTTTATTTACGTAAATTTCTTTGATTCTTTGTAAGCTTCTTGACATCTTTATTATATTTATATAAATATACTTTGTGCTTATCAACTAATAGCAAACAGTCATATTATTTGTGTTGTTATAATGTCTGACGTCAAATGTGTTAAGTAATCGTCTTCTGTGTGTATTGTGTTTGGAGGGTGTTTAAAATTGATATTTTCGGTTTTTATGCCCTCAAATGGAATTGTCTCTGCTGAAAAACTATAAACTTGCCAATAACTTTTGATTGGTTGGTGCTAGAGCTTTCTAATTTCACATGTGTATTCTTTGTTACAAGACCTTTCTTTGGGTACCAACATATTTGACCTTGGAGTTTGACCTAATTTTGCAAAATGTAACCAAACTTTAACCTTGACCATAATTTTTGAACGATTGATGCTAGGGTTGTGTTTCATGTGATAAGACCTTTCCTTGGGTACCAACATTTTTGACCGTTTGACCTTGAGCTTGGAGTTTGACCTACTTTTGAAAGCTTTAACCTTGGCCATAACTTTTGAACAGTTGGCGCTAGGGCTTTCATTTATCACATGTGTATTTCTTGGTACCAATATTTTTGATCTCATGATCTAGACAAATTCACCTTAAATTTCGCATGAAGAATTGACAGAATTTTATATTTTTGCAGCTCACGCATACGCCACTACCATAAATGTTCAGTCTAGACCTGGAAGTGAAATCTCCAGAAATCAAATTCGTCTCAACACAGTAAGTACACTAATATAAAGATGCACATATTAATGAGGAATTATGTCCCGTTACACCATTGTTTGTATGTGATACGTAAACATTCGAAATGATTCAAACATTAAATTTTCATATAATCACGGACCAAAAAAAAAAGGTTGTTTTGGTGTCCATTTCGAAACTTCATAATTATGTAAGCTAGTTAGAATACCGAAATATATCATATCGTTAAAATTTGTAAAAATGTTGAGCCTTACTAAATAGATCAAACATTTTTAATATAGGAGGATCTTGTCATAAACAACAGTGCAGAATTCTTCAGAAATAATGCACCTTTGGATTCATCGACTAATAGACACCATCGACCTATAAACGAACCACCCCCAACACTACCGGGTTATCGACCGCAGATAACAGTAGTCCGGGAACTTTCCGAGGACCGCCTTTTATCGCCACCTCCTCCATATACAGAATTGGACATAACAAACGCACAGAGGACTTTAAGCTCCTAACTGAGCAGTGTCAAAAATCATACCTGGTGTATTTTCATGGTGCTCGATTCGATATCTTTATTTTATCGAATTTATCCTTATAATATGATTTAATGTTGAACCTTTTACTATGTTTATTATATTCTCATGTACACTGTATATAGATTTGCTTCTTCTCGTTGAACGAGACTGTCGTGAGATATTTTGATTATGTACTGTTAAATCACCTTGTTATTTGTGATAATCTTGGGATTTTTCTACAGAATAAAGAAATACAAGGAAACAATGTTTAGGCTGCCATGGTTCTGTTTCTTGCTCCCAATACGAAGATTAGGACACATTTTTAAAAACCCATTTCCCTCTACATCATAACTTATGACAAAAAAGTAACTTCTAGGTCATAACCCTAACTATAGACCATTTTGACAAGGTCAAGGAAACTGGGACTGGAAGATAGAAATTCTTGTCCGATACATATCTGTAAAAAGAGAATCACAAGAAGGTCACACTTGGCTCAAAAGGTGTTGAGTTGTATAACCGTAACTGGATAAAAGGTTTAAAGTACACTTTTTGGATAAGGTCAAAATCAGGCCTTGTCTGTAGAAACTACGTTTTGATTTAATGTCTGAATACATGCGGAACTGCAGAAATAAATAATCCATTATCAATAATATACATGTATATACTAGTATTTTATGAAGCAGTTATAAATCAAATTAATTTTACACTTTTATAACTGTTCACTGCTTAAATGATCTGTTGCTTGTTTTGTTGTGTTGACTGTTCAAGAAATGGCGACATGAATTTTCAAATAAAATGTTTTGAGATTTTATAACATGAATCAAATGCCAGTCCATTGTGGAAGAAAGAAATCCATGTAATCTTTGCTGAACTGTTTTCTGAGGCCTGATCCAGGTTTTGCAGGCCACTTAAAGTAGGTCACATTTCCGCTCGAGAGCCACCCACCCCACCAACCAAACGTCCCCACTGTTGTTATCACGTGATCACAAGCAGCCAATAGCGCCAGGTCTTTATGAGCTCCATGCTTTGGATCACTGTAATAAATATTCGTTATGTTTTGTAACTGTTGTTTGACCCACTGGATTTCTAGTGAGCAAACAACATAGATTACGTTTGGTAAATGTATAAATCTGTTAATTGCTCTGTGTAAATAGTTCGGTGTAGCAACTTGATATCCATACGCAGATACACTGGTCAACATGTCCCCACGTCTCACATGAACACCGATAAATATGACGTCATCTCGATGTGAGTAATTTTGTCCTTTTGATATCTTTTCTAACGTGTGATTTACCCACAATTGTATGTCATTCTTAAAGGTTAATTGCTTCCGTAAGTTTTTCGTTGCTCCTTCAAAATATTTCCAGGATTGTAGATAAGTAATTAATGTATATCCTGTGTTAGCCTGAAAGTTTAGTAACTTAGGATCATACCCACAACATTTTCTTTCTTTGCGAAAAAATGTTCCTTTACATTTTCGGGAGTCCTTCGCTATGATCAAATGGGAGTCATTAAATAGGTTGAATACACTGAACAGAGTATCATGCCTTGGAATGAAATAAGTTATGTTCTTCATTTTGGCAATGCCATATATTGATGCGAACACAAAAAGCCGGTTTCCTAAATTTCCCGTTACAGATCCGCAGAGAAATCCAATGCGACTTCCGGTTCTGCGTAAACCATTGCTCGTGTTGGACTTGATACGTGCTTGGTACTTTGGAGATGGATGAGCAAATTGCTTTCCTATAAAAATTTGATGATGGAAATCAGGAATTTTCACAGTAATGTATAGTAGGATAAAAATAATTCCGGTCAAAATTGCACCTGAAAGTAAAAAAAAAAAATTACCAACATTAAAAGTACAATGTAACTTTTACAAACACTATTAATTCATTGCTTTATTACGAAAGCCCTTTGATCTCATTTTCGTAGATAAAAAAAAAATATATTTTTCGCCTTAGAACGCGTAACTTTTGCGTTATAACGCGAAACTTTCGCGAATAAACGCGTAACTTTCGCGTTATAACGCGAAACTTTCGCGTTATTACCCGTAACTTTCACGAATAAACGCGTAACTTTCGCGTTATAACGCGAAACTTTCCCTGTAAAACAGAGACATTTGCATTAGTCTACAGTTTGTTTTACTTTTTAATGATCTAGTTTATTCATTACAGTGAAAAACGAAAGACTATTTTGAACTTGGATTATCACGAGCTGAAATTTTATGTTTTCTCGCCATTGAATGTGTCTTTCCTCTTTCTAAATCTTTTTTGCCGTCACATTTTGTCTTTCTCAATGCTGTTCAATACAAGTGTTGAAGCGTATAGTAGAGGAGCGAAAATACAAGTCTAATTTTAATTAGATTGAACACTCTATATAGAATTTGAAATAAAAGATCTCAGAAAATTGTCAACAATGAGGTGAATTTGTATTTCACGGAACAATTGTGTCACATCACATGAGTAATCTAATGTGAAAATTGGATGACAAATATTCGTATCAAATATTTCATCTCCGATAGACTCACTGAAGAAATACAACATTGTATTTTAAGGTTGCACCATTTGGTCATACCATTACTTACGAAAACATTGACAATTTATTCAAAGAAAGCAACGAGTGGAGATCTTCCTGAGAAAAAAAATTAGTCTACAGAATTTCTTGGATTCAACAAGTGAAAAACAAGAAAATCTTTAAAGGAATATTCATTTAATTAATTAGTAGGGTTTTGAGATTAAATGCAAAATCAACACTAATCCATCCATTTCTCGCATCAATTCTCTTTTACATCTTCTGAAGAAATGTCATTTATAAATTCATAGAAGTCCCCCTCTGCGTTCATGTTTTTTATCTGTCAGTCAAGATCACAGATTCCTGAGTAACATGACCATATATGTATAATTTCGCGTTATAACGCGAAAGTTTCGCGTTTATTCGCGAAAATTACGCGTTTATTTGCGAAAGTTACGCGTTATAACGCGAAAGTTACGCGTTTATTCGCGAAAGTTTCGCGTTATAACGCGAAAAATATATTTTTGTTACCTACGAAAATGAGCTCAATGGGCTTTCGTACTTTATAAACAATAAATAATGAAAAAAAACTGATATAATTGTAATCAAATTGGTGTAAAGTTCGATTATTGAAGCTATAGTATATACTGAAATAAATTTGTACCTATCTGAAATTTCTTCCAAGTTTTTGCAGTTTGTTCCATATAAATATCTTCTCCTCGATCTTCTCTACCCACAAACTTTGACCTTTCCTGTAAAAATCCCGAAGACTATTTTTGGACCCCTGCCTTTGAACTGAACTATTGGTAAATCACTCTGATAAAACTTTCAAAAGATTTAACAGGCACACCTAAATTCTATCGTAGCTGGGGAGATATATCCGGTAAGAGAATTATCGATAAGATTTGTACAATTCAGGAGCACAGCATTTTCCCCAATATTGAATGAAATAATGTGCAAAAAGAAAAACTTTTCCAGAGTGTTCTTGCAACGTATCTCTAATTTCATGTGATTTCATCGGAAAGAAGTTGGGAGCCATCAAATATTTATATATTATAGGAATTTATCATTTAAATGCTTGTGCTGCTAGTATCTATAAACACAAACGGATGTCAAAGGCCGCAAAAAATATTAAGAGAGTAAAAAGACCTTTAGACAAATACCAGTATCAGATCAACTGCGCTGCTAGTGATTTATTTTGTTTGAATATTGGAAGACAAAAAATATATGTATACATAAAAAGGGTATTCAATGTTTTGTAGTTGAAGATCAGGGCTGTCGCCAAGTTTCTGGAAAAGGGGTGCGAGAGAGGGTCTAGGAGGGATACTCTGCCTTTGAGCTAGAAAAAAAATATAAATGGGTACCATTCTGGTGGGGGCTAGAGAATTCTTAAAGTATTTTTTCACATATTAAATAAACAAAATCTAGCGACATTCGATCAGATGAAAAATGAACTTAATTGTTTCAAAAAGACATGTTTACGAGTGTTTCTATATTTGAAAAGGGAATTGCGATCACACTCAATGCACCACTGTTCCAATGCCTTTAATATGGAATTTATTTCACGAGTGCGAAGTACGAGTGAAAATAAATATAAATCTTGTCTCATGAGTAAAGCAAATTTCATGATTAAATTTTTCACGATACGCAAGTACAAAACTACGAATTTTCTTTTTCTTTCATTTTCTTTGGTTTTCTTTATGACCATATTAACTAAGTACATATAGTTTAGTTATTTCACGCTATGAAAATATCACTTTGTAGGTCTCTGCAATATAATTCTTTTCACTAAATAAATTACAGTATTTCACTTCTAAAAATTAAATAAAAAAGATTTATAGAAAAAAATTATCCCAACTAAGGCAGATTGCATATAGCATGATTTTGTGTCCGAGAAATTAGCATTTTTGGTAAATTTTGGACATTTCATACACTTAAGGTTGTTCATTCCTCAACCTTTTTTGTATCAGTAATTAATGTGTTACTTTAACATTTCATGAAAACCTTTACAAATTGAACAAATAAAGTACTCCTATTTGTGTTATTTTTGTCACCGGTAGATGATTATAAGAGTAAGTAAACTCTCTAATTATTTACGAAAAATCTAAAATAACTTTCAGTATTCTGAATAAACATTTCCGTGTACATGTAATATTTTCGTGTTGAAGATCGATTAACAATTACATGTATTTCTTAAGTCAAAAAATGACACTTTCATCCACACAATGCAACATGTCCTTGGAAGAAAAAAAAATTATGAAACAACTTTAATTATGACAGGTAATTAATTTTATTTGATTAACAGAACATTCTGTAAATAAAATTCTCTGAGGGGTTTCTATGACCTTGTGTTGATTTCTTCTGGCATCCTTAGTATCCGACCCATCTAGGATAAAAGAAATCCATAAAGTCCTCACTGAAACCTTGTCTCAGAATTGTTCCTTCTCTAGCGGGCCATTTATAGAAAGTCACGTGACCCCCTGACAACCATGCTCCCCACCATCCAAAAGTTCCAACAGTTATAATCACGTGATCACAAGAAGCTATCAGAGCGAGGTCATTCTCTGGATATGCGTTTGGGGTATTGAAGTAAACTTTTGCTGCATTTTTTGGCATGTTTGCCTTAATCCATGTTAGATCGGTGGAGCAGACGACATAAATTACGTTCAGATAGTTGTTGAAATGATCCACTGCTTTGTATAGATATTCTGGAGTTGCAACCTCATGACCATATGTGTTCTTCATAGTCATGTCACCTCGTCGTATATGGAGACCTACAAGAACTACGTCATTACGGGAAGTGACGTTGAAGCGTCGGAGAATATCAGCAGTCACATTTTTCACAGAGGACACAATTTTTGGTTTGAAAGTAAACTGCCTTTTAATACTTTCTTTAGCTTTTTCAAAGTATTTCCATGACTGTAGATACGTTATGATTCTATATGTCTCTCCTGGTTTCGGATTGAAATTTAAAATTTTGCTGTCAAAGCCACAACATAAGCGTTCCCGTCTATAAATAGTAACATTGCAAATAGATTCTAAATCGTCTGTTATCAAAAGGTTAGAGTCATTGTGAATAAGAAATATCTGATTGATGACGTCATTTGTATGTATGACATACTTCATACCTCGCATTATTGCGATACCATACAAAGATGCAAATTGAAAGAGTCTATTTCCAATCCTACCGACATTATATCCACACAAATATGGCGGATGCGTTGGTGTATATGCTGATTGTGTTTGGTCTTGTATATTTCTTTCGTTTTCTTTGGATAATTTGGCACCGTCAAAGGAAATTATTATACGCGACGGGAGATTGTTGTTTGTATATTTTACACTTATCCTGTGACGCAATAAAAACACCAAACCAACAAGGATCACAACAAGGGCAAGAAAACCTGAAATGGAAGAAAGTGTACATGGAGAAAAGAATCAAATTTACTTGTGATACAGGCACTGTTTCTTTATAATTTTTATTAATCCATTGTATTATAATAACACATTATTAAACATGTACTATGAGTTAAAAGAAATATTACAGAAACAAGTGCCTGTGCCGTGAAACTAGACCACGTGATTGAGACAATCCATATACTTACAGCTCATATAATTAGGAGAATGTTTTTGTGGTTACTGTATTTGATTTTATTTAGTTATCAACGTCAATTAAAAAAAAGTTTGATACAATTGTTTTTAATACTGGTCGCAAATTGGATAAACGTATGCAAGCAACATTTTTGGTAAAGAAGAGTTTCTCCATCTATTAGATTGTGAGGTAAAGCACTAAAGCGATAATAAAATGATGCAAGGAACCACCAGTAAGTGCACAATTATCATCATTACAAGTGTATCTGCATAATGTCTGGAAGTGGGAGATTTTACTGTACTTCCTTGATTGAATCTATAAATAAAATTGTCTGAGTTTGACCTTCACTTTAGATAGCATTTAGCCAAAATGAATTTTTAATTAAATCATGACTTTACTTGTGTTTTCCAGAAAATTGTGTAATTATTCCACTAAATTGGTCACGGTCCTGAAATGTACTTTTTTTTTTTTTTTTTTTTTATATAATAAACCATGCTATGACTTCTTTAGATAATCTTGGAGTTATTATATCCCAGAAATCAATGTGAAGTAAAAAAAAAATTAACTTTCATCGAACACTTATCAAAATGCGGCCAATGAGATTAATATTGACCTAAAACCTTTATCATTCACATCGTAGAAATTTATCTCTCATCACATAAAAAATATTTTCGCAAAATATACCGAACACAAAATGATGTGTTTTTAACTTGTGTCTTCTTTTTTTAATAACACGTGTTCGGGTGTGCTGTACCGTAAGAGTGACCAATGTGACAAAATCTTTGGAATTACATATAGATATAAAAATGAACTACAAATATGAGATCTAATTGGAATTTGTCCGTTCTTTAGGATCAGTAGCTCTCGTAGTACCCTATTGTTTTTTTTTCCGTTGTGCTATTTCAAAACTAAACACTGTATGAAATGCCTCAGGTCATAGGAAGCCTTCGAAATTTTAAACAATTTATAACATATAATGCGATCACTCGACAGAAAATCGATACGTAAACCACACTATGTTGACACATTTATTTTTATAAATGATTATCTTAGGTATCAGAAAGAAAAAAAATGACAAGTATATTTACCAAAATCAAGACTTTAAAATTTAAAGCAAATCACCTTTCAGTTTCTTTGTCCTGTATATATTATGCATGGATGCAGTTTCAGAATTTCGTCCGAGTAAATGTTCCTGCAGACATCAGAGATTTAGACTATCATGGTCCCGGTCCATGCCGCCGAGGGAGAGTTTATCTTGACAGGCTAAAGTAACGAGGTTTCCGCTGTAGTCTGGATTCCAATAAGGTGTTTATATCAAAAAGTGTCAAACAGGTTCAAAGTTATTTTTAAAACCGTGGTATATTTTAAGACATATTTGATTAGATAAAATCTAAAGTGATAAAATATATTCTTCTCCAAAGCATAAATTGGCAAAAAAAAAATAGGTAAAGTAAACATAGGTTTTTGATAGAATAAAATCGTGCACATAAGTTTTTGTTGAAAATTAATTGCATATCATAACAGAGAAGAGCTTGGCTTGGTTTTCCCAGCAGGAGAATAGTCTGGCGGGAGAAGAGTTTGGCATGATTTCCCCAGCGGGAGAAGAATTTGGCATGATTTTCCAACTTCTTGTCTGTATGTCGTTTCGCCTGTTTTTAGCTTTCTGTCTCTCCCAAATCGTTTCCGGTCCATAAGTCGAGATGCCTTAAGCTTGATCTTGAATACGTTGCATGTCGATCATGACCTTAGCTCAATGACACACTTCAAAGGTCAAGGTCACAGGGTCTGAAAATACACTGTTGTGAAATTGTATCCAGACTATAAGTCTAGAACCCTTGACTGGAGGTTATTTAAAATTAATTTGTTGTTACTGATGACCAAAAGGTGCCCAGTCCTCAACTTAACGTCATATTTTAATGATCATGTATGGTTACTGGACAATGAAATATTGAAATTATGAACAATACTTTGGAACCTAATTTGATTGAATATAAACTTGAAGATGCTGATCTCCTGAAGATTATCACAAAACTGACTCAATAATATCATATCTCAAAGGTTAAGGTCATGTCATCAAGGTATTTCATTGATGGCCACGTGTATCATTGAGCAATGGGATTAATCATATGTTTTTGTCATACAAATCTAGCTAGACATTGGTAAAACAAAATAAATTATTACAGTGTCTACACTTATTCATGGTCAAATTATGCTTATAATACTAGGAACTAGTTTATCGGTAGATCTTTTCACTCAATTCGATGCTATCTTGAGAAGAATTCAAAATTATAACTACAAATCTTTTAAGACAAAGAATGAATATTAGGTTCTCTTTCCTCAGCAAACATATCTTTGGTCACACTGTTTGATGACCTGTCTTGTCCAAGAAATGTTATGACATTTGTAATTGATAAAAAATATATCTAAGTGAATAGAAGTTTAATCTAAGGTTACAAAGCATTGGCCCTGTAAATTAAAGATTTGTTATTTTCATCATCTCATCACTGGGTGATTTCGACCTCGTAGATATATGACTCCTGTTGAACATTAAAAAAATCAGGGTTTTGATTCACCTCAGTCAAGGGTGGCACGTTTCAGTCTCAACACTTTTCACCTTCTCATTATTTGATGATCTTGCAATTTCACAATAATTTCGACATTGATAACAACATAATAAAGTCTTAATCTTTACAAATCGAGTATTCCTAATTTATAGCCGGGTCACAATTTTAACCTTGACCTCTGAGATATGACCTTGAGTCTAGATCATAATAAGCATCACTGGCATGGACATCAATTTTCGTAAGTTTAACTTGATCCATGGCAAGATCGCAACAATTCTTATTGCTCAGTGACCATGACTGAATTTGTACGAAAATTTCGAAATTTAAGTGTCCAGTCCGTGTTTTGTGCTTTTACCATTATTTTTTCTTTACGTAGTTGTTTTAGAGCCGAGTTTCTTGCCTTCGGTCAGAAAAGAAATCTGATTTGATATTTTGAAATTCTGCAAAAAATAATCGATTAATTATTTGGCATATTGGACGCTGGAATGGCCCAGACCCTGGTTCCAAACACTTTGGAGAGCTTTAAATACTATACTCTTAGACTCCACCCAAACAGATTTGTGGACAACAAAACACGTTGCAACAAAACAATGCAAGACCACATGTTGCATGCGTTGTTCTTGGCGATATTAACAAAAGAACGAGAATGTAATGTATTGGCCTAAAATTTCTTCTAATTTTTCACTGGAAAGTCGTTTACTTAACTCAATAAAACCATCTTTGACGTCGTCCAGGAACTGGTCCATACTGAATCAACATTCCACAAAGTTTTATGAGCAATCTGATTCCATCATGCATTACATTGAGACGTTGTTTTCAATCATACCCTTACAAAAATTTACTACAGTTAATTATAGTTTACTATAGTTAACTATAGGGAAAACTTTGATACTTTGATTTACTATGAAACTTTACTCTAGAGCTTTTTCCGAGATTTCAAAGCTTAAAATCTCTAAAATTCGATAACAATAATGTAAAATTTGGAAATAATGTGTGAATATACAAATAATATTTCAATTTGATATTAAAAAAAAAAAATATGCATGTGTGAATTGAAGAACAAAAAAATATAACGATCTGAAATCCATAGTAAAATACTTTGATTTACTATAGTGAAAAACTGAGAGCACACAGTCTTCATTTTATCTTCCTTTTAAGATAATGCAATCAATAACGCACTTATTGTTTATTATCCCTCAGATCATTCATATGAAATACATGAAATGACTTTTCCAAAAGATATACTATACAGTGTTTAATGCCGAAAACTACTAGGTAATTGGGTTTACAAGAACTTGATTCTTTGCATAAGAATATAGGTAGTATTACAAGACGCTGAAGAATGAGATGTCAGTAGATAGCACTGATCCCTAGCTCGTATCAAGTAGTTAGTACCACACCATTTGAACATGCTTTGACTATTAGTTAAGAACGGAGGCATATTTCAGGAAAACAGGACTCCGTACGCCAAGGTTTAGGGTTTACTTTTCACATTTTACTTTTAGGGTTACTGTGGAAGAATTACATTCCAATCCAGGAAGGCAAAAAGAAATCTGAATAATCAGCACTAAATGTTGACCTCTGTTTCCCATCCTCCTTTGCTGGCCATTTGTAATAAATCACGGTTCCATTGTTCAGCCAGCTGGACCACCACCCAAATGTACCCACTGTTTGAATCACGTGGTCAGACGAGGCTAACAGAGCCATGTCAACTTCCGGTGTATTTCCAACACTAAATTCCACTCTAACGTTCTTTGGCATATATTTTTGCGACCAAGTTAAATCCATTGAACATACCAGGAAAATAGTATTTTTATACTTTTTGAAAAATTCTACTGCGCGAGAGATATATTCAGGTGTAGCTACGTCATAGCCAAGTGGGTTGTTCAACATGTCTCCACGACGTATGTGAACGCCAATAAACGTTACGTCAGATCGTGACGTAAAATTAAATTTTCTCCAAGTTCTTTCTTGAATTTCAGTCACTTTTTGACGTATATGTTTTCTAAACGTCATTTGTTTTCGCAGATTTTGGGAAGAATCATTGAAATATTTCCACGACTGAAGTCCCCAGCCCATAAATATGTTTGAAACGACAGTAA